AGGAGGAGGAGGAGGAGGAGGAGGAGGAGGAGGAGGAGGAGGAGGAGGAGGAGGAGGAGGAGGAGGAGGAGGAGGAGGAGGATTTTTTCCCCCAAAGAAAACTTTGCAGGGCAGATTTCAACACAGCATGTTTACATTTTTGCTTTGCAATTTAAATTATTTATGTTTGTTATCATTATTTCCTATTCATTGTCTTATGAAAATTAGGTATAAATTTAAATAATCAGTCAGTGAATATAGAACATGAATTCAAGAGGAATGCCAGGAAGATTTGCTGAAAGAAAATTTATTTTACAGCTCAAACTTATCATTTCTTTAAGGAAAGCAATTCAAGTTATATATTAGCTCCTTGCCAGTAGAAATGTGTTTCACTCTGTCCTGAAAATTCCATGAGATTTCTGTAGCTTTTTCATTAGGTAATGACCTTTTCAAATGGGCCCATAAATTGCCTACTATTTGAAATAAATTATTGAGAAGGTGCTTGAATCTTTCTGTGAATTCAAAAGAAATATAAATCCATTGTACCAACATGCCTCATATTTCATGTACCAAAAATTCCAGAAGAATACATAAAACACATATTTCATTAATTCTTCTAAATGGCTGTTGTGGTATAATTTTAATATTACTCTTCCCTGCATTTGTAAAAAAGCATCTCTAGTAAGTTATTCAAAAGTTCAGTATGTAAAAAGATTTTTGCTTTTATGCACCTGTTCAAATTCTTTTGGGATCAAACACATTTTTTCTTAAGCATTTTAGAAACATTACTTCATCCATCATGTTCACGATAATGACCTGTTAGGTAAAGCAAATACATTGAGTGGGTAGGTGTATCAGCACATATTTTTGTTTCTTTTGTTTATTTGTTTATAAGAGAGATTAAGCAGATAGGCTTGAATTTGAGAAGAGATATATGTAACTTGAATAAATGCAAATGTGTATTAGTTAATGATTAGTTAAAATAGGAGAGAAAGAGAGAGAGAACTCACAAGAAAGTAGTTATGGCACAATTCAATGTTTAACATGTTGTCGAGCTAAAATGTAGGTGATACACACTTGGATCCCCAAGTTATATTCATGGGCACCTCTCTTGGCATTTCTTGTCCTTCCAGAAAGAGGGAAAAGGGAGGGAGGGAGGGAGGGAGGAAGGGAGGAAGGAGCAGGTATTAAAGAAACTGCTGGCTTCAATCATCATATTAGATGTTAAATGTTGGAAACCAACAGTTTTGGATAGAAAACACAAGAATATATAAGCTCGGGTGCAAGAGAATAACCTGTAAAAGATATAAAAGTGGGACTAAAAAACTTCTGGGTGAAGAATAGTGAGAAAATGAAAGAAAATGATATGACAGGTAAGATGGGCAGTGTATAAATTAAATGGATGGATGAATAGCGCAACAGTACAAAAAGCATGTGTTGTTTAGTTGATCGAAAATACAGAATTTCAATCTGAAAATAGAGCAGAAAATGTTAGATATGAAAAAACAGGTCTACACATCAAAGTCCAATTAACCTGATTTATTGCTTAATAGTCTATGCACAGGAATCTTGTCAAGAAACTGCTTGAAGTGATATAAGAGTCAACAGAATTCAAGGGTTTGTACTTTGTCCACTTGTGGCTATGTAGAGATTCTAGGTTGATCCCTCTTTAACTTCACTCTCAGGTTCTGCAATTCCTTCTACTACAAAAATGGAGTGGAAAGGTGCATCTTCTATTAAAACAGTTATCTTGTAGATGCTTGCTACAGCTACACATCTGAAAAATTGTTCATCCATGTCTAACAAATATCTTGGAAATCCTTGCCTGGCTTAGACTGACTGATGTTAAAATAATTGCCAATTGGTTTCACAATTGGTCTACTTTCCCTTCTTAGAGTATTGGTTGGAAGAAACTATTTCATGGTGGTTGGTCATACCACATCTCTCTTTAAATCCACACCGAAGGACAATATAATTGACAAGAAGGAACAACTTCTTATCCCATAATTTGGCTAAGTAGAGTAATATGGCGATAACAGGTAAGAATAGGAAAAATGTATAAAGCAAAAATGCAGATTTACATAAAAAAGGTGATGGAGCCCGCTAAATAAAACTCCTTGTTTTTAAATAAGATATTCTATGTGTATTTTAGAAAAAGATATTTTATGTTACTACATCCTATGTTTTGTTTGCTTGTGTATGTTTTTTAAAAAATAATAATAAAATTTGTTCAAAAATAAAATAAAACTCCTGTTATAAATAAAAAATATACAGATTACAGATTAGTATGAAAAATATTCAAAATTATATTCAAATTATATTTTATCATATTAGGCAAAAGAAGATATAGAAGTGCATATTTGACAAAAAATGTATATTAAAATCAATTTAATTATGTTGCAGGGGGGGGGGTTAATAATAAAAACTAATGCAGTTGGAGAAGAAAATGAATAACAAAATAAACAGTCATGCAACAGACTTTATGATATTATGATTGTAAAAGTTGAAAAAAATGAAAGGGAAATTGACTTAATGCATCAATTTCTGAAAGTGACTGCCTGTCAATTTACTAGTTTACTTTTGGCAAATCATTTGGTTACCCTCAGAGTGTAGGGACAGTTCAACTAAAGATTATTTGAAATAACATGTGTGAATGGCCTTGAATACTCAAAATCCATATACAAATTTTAAATCCAATTTTCTGAAGTTCATGATGATACTGTTCAAGTTGTAGTTGTTGTCCAGTATTTGAGATGAGTTAAGAGATGTCAGACAAAACTGGCCAATGATTAAATTTAACTATAACTTAGAATATGCAGATTTCTGCTTCTGTAATCTCTCTCACTCTCTCTTTCTCCTTCTCCTTCTTCTCTCTCTCTCTCTCTCTCTCTCTCCCTCTCTCTCTCTCTCTCTCTCTCTCTCTGTGTGTGTGTGTGTGTGTGTGTGTGTGTGTTAGTTACTTTCATTTCTTGAAGGAGAACAGAGATGAGAATTCAAGCAAAAACATCAGTGAAAATGGAATTGCTGCCATGAAAAATAATGCTAGCCTGTTTGTTTTTCTGAGAGCTCCTATGGAGCAATATATAAAACACAAAAAATTAACTGTCACTTTCCAGGATAATGGCTGACTCACATTATCAAGATTTTTGGCTCATGTATACTAACATAATGCAATATGAATATGCATATTGATGTCTCATGCTAAATACCAATATATTCCATGTTATTATATTTGTATAATATAAACAGTTGACGTTCAAGAATGTGGTATGGAAGAATTTGTATGAATATTCAGAAAGTAAGAAGGGTACAAAGCAGTGGTGGGTTTCAAAAAAAAATTTCCTACTGGTTCAGTGTGAATATGCAATTTGCACATGCACACGTGCCAAAGGTGTGCTTTGCGCATGCACAGCATTTGCAACTCACCTTCTGCTGCAAGCCCTGGGTGTAAAACAGCTGATGTGTGGAAATCAGCTGTGTTGCATGAAGCAGCTGAGGTTGAAAAGCAGGAAATAAAAGTTGTTGGAGTGAACTGGTTCGCTCACAGATGATCCTTGGAGCTACTGGTTCGGTCGAACTGGGCTGAACCAGTAGAATACCACCACTGGTACAAAGCATTCCTGTACACTGATTGTAAGATTTGCCCATAAATACAAATTTGACTATAGATACGTAACTGCTGACTCAAGTTAAGTTTTGAGATAGACTGGTTAGCAAACAGACATCACAAGGAATACCAGAATTCTACAGTGCTAATATAAATATAAAACTTTAAAAACCTCAGGTGTTTCTTTTTTTGCCACTCTTATAGTGAACAGAATCAAAGCAGAATCAAATTCAATTTTGAGTTTCTTTCACCTCTTTTCCCAGATTAATCTCATGTTTAATTAATGGTTATTGCATATTTTTTCTCAATGTCATGTCTTTACACTTCTGCACCCATTTCTAAAAGTCAACATTTTCTGCCCAGGTTAGCCCCCATTCAAAAAAAAAAAAAAAAAAAAAGCAAAAGGAACTCCATAAAAAACCTTTGACAAATCGTATGATATTTCACAGATTTGGCCACTAAAATATCCCAATTTATTTTTTATTTTTTTTGTGGGAGAGGAGATGTTCGATGACAAATAGGAGACAATCCTGTCTCATTGCATATGTTTGCTGCCTCCAAGATTCATATATTTGGTGCCACATCTGAAAAAGGGGAGCAATATCATAAAATTGTGAGCCTGTTTGTAGTTATTAGCATAGCAAAGAAGGGGTTTTGAATTTGCTTTCAAATTATGGTTCTGGAGAAGAAACTTTAGAATCCCCTGGACTGCAAGGAGATCAAATCAGTTAATCCTAAAGGAAACCAACCCTGATTATTCTTTGGAAGGACAAATACTGAAGCTGAAGCTTAAATACTCATTTGGCCACCAAACAAGAAGAGAGAACTCATTGGAAGAGACCCTAATGTTGGAAAAGACTGAACACAAAAGAAAAAGGGAATGGCAGAGGATGAGATCAGTGGTGGTATACCGGTTCAGCCAAACAGGTAGCTCCGAGGATCATCTGTTCGCTCCAACAATCAGCTTCCACCTGACCCAGGTCTATACCAATTTCAAAAGCCGATACAAAAATGTATGCCTCCAGATAAAGACTGAATGCACCAATTATCACATTAAACAAGAGGAAAACCTTCTAAGCACCAATTCCACCCGTGCTTTTTACAATTTTGTAAACAACAAACTAAAAGACTCAAGGTCCATCCCATCCCTGATAGGACCTAATGGTAAAGACTGCAATAACGACATCATTAAAGCCAACATCTTTAACACATTCTTTGGCTCAGTATTTGTAAACAGCAATGGATCATGCCCAGTATTTCCCAGTCGAACCACAGATAACTATAATGATCTAATACATATCGATTTTACAGAAGACAATGTTGAAAAAGCACTATGCAATCTAAAACCATCTTTATCTATTGGACCGGATGGAATATGTGCCTACTTCTTTAAAAAGCTATCCACTGCCATAGCCAAACCTCTAAGCATAATCTTTGAAAAATCTTTCAGGACCAGCTCCTTGCCTAACCTATGGTCACAAGCCACGGTCATCCCCATCTTCAAAAAGGGAGACCCAAGCCTAGTTGAAAATTACAGACCAATCTCCTTATGCTGCGTCACCTGTAAAGTCATGGAATCAATTATTAACCAATCCATCATCCTCCACTTAGAGACAAACTACGTACTCTCCAATAAACAATTTGGTTTCAGAAAAAAACTATCCTGTAATCTGCAACTCTTACACTGCAAAAACATATGGACGACACAACTCGATCAGGGCAAAGCAATAGACGCAATCTACATAGACTTGTGTAAAGCCTTTGATTCAGTGGTACACGACAAACTACTCCTAAAAATAAAATCCTATGGTATCTCTGCTAAAATCCTATGGTATCTCTCCTAAAAATAAAATCCTATGGTATCTCTGGACAACTGCATAACTGGATAGAAGCATTCCTGTCAAACAGACAACAAATGGTCAAAATTGGGAGTGTCCTATCAAATTCTGTACCTGTCAACAGTGGTGTCCCCCAAGGCAGTGTTCTAGGACCAACCACAGACAATACTGCTACGCTTCAAAAAGATCTTGATTATGTATCAGAATGGTCAAACAAATGGCAACTTCAAATCTCAACAAATAAATGCTCTGTCTTACATATTGGCAAGAAAAATCAGAAAATAAAATACAATCAAGATATTGTTGATGATCCAAGCTCTGTAAAGGACCTTGGAATACTCACCTCTAATGATCTAAGTGCTAGAGCCCACTGCAACTACATAGCCAAAAAGGCATTAAGAGTTGTTAACCTAATCCTACGTAGCTTTTTCTCTGGTAATATCACACTACTAACCAGAGCATACAAAACATTTGCTAGACCAATACTCGAATACAGCTCATCAGTCTGGAACCCACATTACGTATCTGATATTAGCACAATTGAGAAAGTCCAGAAATATTTCACAAGAAGAGTTCTCCACTCCTCTACTCGTTGTAGAATACCTTATGCCACCAGACTTGAAATTCTAGAACTAGAAAACCTTGAATTACGCCGTCTTCGGTCTGATTTAAGTATGGTATATAAAATCATACATTGCAATGTCCTTCCTGTCAATGAATACTTCAGCTTCAACCATAACAACACAAGAGCACACAATAGATACAAACTCAAGGTTAACCGCACCAAACTTGATTGCAGGAAATACGACTTCAGCAACAGAGTGATCAATGTCTGGAATACTCTACCCGACTCTGTAGTTTCTTCCCCAAACCCCAAAAACTTTAACCTTAGACTATTGACCTTACCCCTTTCCTAAGAGGTCTGTAGGGGGCGTGCATAAGCGCACCAACGTGCCTACCGTCCCTGTCCTATTGTTTCTTTTATTTTTCTTTTATTTTTCTTATATGTACCCATTTCATGTATTCATAACTATGTATACACTTATACTTATTATCTTGTAAACAATTGACAAATCAAATAAATAAATAAATAAATAAATATACTGACCTTTATTTCCTGCTTTTCAAACTCAGCTGCTTCGCGCGGCATAGCCGATTGCCACACATCAGCTGTTTTACACACAGGGCTTGCGTGAATTGGTGAATTGGTGACAAGTCCAAGGTGACACGGTTTCTCAAGTCATCAGACATTTCTAGCTCATATTTCTTGCATGTAAGTAGGATTTGCTGAAGATTTAGCAGCAGGAAAGAGAAGCATAGCATAGCATCATTGCCTTGGAAGCAAGGTGAATTTGGTGGAATTTATTTCTGAGTATACACTTACAGAACTCAAATGATTAAATTATTTAGTCCTTTTGATTCCATCATTCATTGAAGAACTGACAGGACAGGCTAAGAATTATACCTAATGAAGGAAAAGGAAGACTTTTGTTTATTATTACTTTTAATAGAACCAAAGGTCTTACATTTGGAAGTAAATAAAAAAAAATTAGTGGCACAGAAGAGAATTCTTTAAAATGGAAGATCAGTGAGTTCCTAAGTTCATATGACACCTGGAAGTTTGTCTGTACTAGGAGGCACTCCTCTTCCTTCATATTCTTCCTTTCCAAGCATAGTTTTTCATTTTGTTTTTTAAGTTTGGTGAGAAATGCTGCTAGACAATGGATATCAGTCTATTACATCTATCAAAGGTGTCTATCAAATCTACCTTTGCTGATGAATCACTGATGATTCTTGCATAATAATTATGCATTTATGCATGTAGGTGTGCTAACCTACAAATATAAATAATGCAATCAGAAATGCAAAAAAATCAAAAAATCCAAATAATATCACCAATGAAGCTTCCAATTTTTCATGACAAATTTGTCAATTTTCACTGCCTCCCATATAAACTACTAGGAAGAATAAGAAAATGGATTAGCTTTGAATCCAGAAAACACTTTGAACACTTTTTTTTCTCTATAACAGATGTTTCTGTAATTAAAAGTCTTTGCTTTTACAAAAGCATTCTCCTGTTGAACTCACATGTCCACTATCCATTACAACAATGGATGCACATTATCAGATCATATACTTCACTAATGTTAATTCATACCTTCAGAAATATTAATTCATACTTTGTGCAGATAACCTACTTATCAACTGATATACTGAATGATTATTATGTGAAATAATATTTGGTGTGAACTGGTGGCCTAAAGGTGAAGATGTTCGAATCCCACTCGGAAGGTTGAAAGTTCAATCCTATGCAGCAATAGATGTTTCTCTATCAGAGCACAAAGAAAAAATATCTGCTGTGAACTCTGTGTAGGCATCAGGAAGGGTATCCAGCCAGTAAACACTTAACTCCATTCAGTCGTCCCAACCTAATAAAGGGATTTCAAGGTCATAAAAGAAGAAAAATGTGAAATAATAATTATTTTAAGACAAAATCTTCCCAAATGTCTCTGGCCACAGAGGCTATATACACAGCAGCCACAAAATAAAACAATACCTAAACTGGTTGCTTCCACAATACCTTGATGTCTTTCAATTCTCTGTACTGTTTTCACTAGTCTTATTCTACAATCCAGCCTTAACTTAGCTGCTTATGATGAAAGGGGCTCCAGTCTTGTCGTGATAAGAAAATAGCCTATACATTCATTGAACAGGCATTTCATCATTCTGTCTGAATGGTGCTATCTTCAATAAGAAGTGTTGAAAGGTGTTTCCCAAAATCAAAATCAATGCTTGGGCTTCAGTGAAAAAGTTCACATTAGTCATTCATCAAGGGATAAATTATTATCTGAATTCTGTGAAGTTCCCATTTCCCAGTTGCAAAATTCAAGGATCAGGAAGGGTGCATGTGGCAAAAGATAATATCCAATGGTCAACTTTCCCCATATTTAGTTTTATAGTGAAACAATCATCCTGGATGATTAAGATTTCTGTATTTAACAAGCTTTCTACAACTGCAGATCAGATGGTGACAGTTCTTATAGTGTCATTTGATTATGATGTCATTTGGGATAAAGATAGAAAGTTCACCTTGCTAACCTCAGTTGGAAAGAGAATTTGTTTAATGTTGTTCAAAAAGATAATCCCACATGAATATCAAAATTAGAAAATATTTGAAAGTCTGCTTTAAGAGACTGATGTCCAGATTCTGCAAACACCTGCTTCTATTTATCCCTGGAAGACTGGCTGTTTGAATGAAACAGTGGGACAACTTGCTGTTGTGGCCTTCCAGTGGCTGGCAGAGCTGGCAGTAGAGTCAGACAGTGAGGAGATTGGGAAGGAACCTGGGCCAGTCCTGGAGGCTGAGGAAGACTTGGACAAGGGATCTGCGTCAGAGGCAGAGATGGGGCCAGGGCAGCCAGGAAGCAGCTACCAGTTTCCAGCCTGCGCATGTGCAGAGCTGCCAAAAGGAAAGAACAATTATGAACTCAGGGTTGATGTGGAAGTAAAGCCATAGGTGGATGATGAATGGGCCCTCCCATAAGGTTTAAAAGAGGAGCAAAGGGGGAGGGGGCTTTTGCAGGAAACCATTCATTCATTCCATGATTGTGAAGATCTGTCTGTGCATTCTAGAGGTTCTGTGCTAAACCCTTCCTTGTCAGCACTGCATTTGGAAATATTTACCGGGCAGCTTTCCAAGATAGATAAGGTTTGAGTTCCTAATTATACCCTTGAAAGACTGCTTGCCAGGCCATTGGCTGAATGTGAATGCAAGAAATTCACATTCACTTAATAAAAAGTGTTTGGTTGGGACAAAGAGTCTGCTTAGTGCTTTTTGGGAAAGCCTAGGACAGAACACCTACATCCTGGAATTGTGGGTGTTCCGTCCTTGAATGTTTCAAGAAAAGATTGGAAAACCATTTGTCTGAGATGGTATGAGGAGTCCTATCTTGGGTAGGGGGTTGAATTAGAAGATTTCCAAGGTCCCTTCTAATCCTATGATTTTATGATTCAATGAATGACACACATCAAAAGCTAGAAGGTTATTTAACAAACAATGCCTGCCATACTATATGATATATGCATGATATTTCAGCTCCAGGGCCACCGTTAAAGTGAGCTTTTTAAAAAAGAATGGATGAATATTCTATTTATGCAATATCCTTTAAAACAATCAGCTTCTATTTCTTTTCGACCTTCATTCACTGGAAAGAAACAAAAGAACCTATAGAAAAGCCAACCTGTTTTTAAACATAACAAGTTCAAGCTTCCATATGCTTATTCTCTTATAATTGTTTTCAGAAGAATAAGGCCTCATAAAACAGATATATATATATTAAAAAACAGTCCATTCAGGTCTATTAAACCCGGTGGGTAAACAGTTCTTTAATAGTAATAAATGGAACCAATTTGAAAACTGGGAAAACAAAAATACATCTCCTGGTAACAATTCTCCTTTAATTCTGTTTCTTAATTTTCCTACAGTTACATTGAAATATTTCCATAATAATTTCTCACTTAAAATTGGAGGAATCATCATTCAATGATAATGTACAACACATGATTAAGAGTTTCTGAAGCATCCATTTAAAATAATAGGATGGTAAACTATGGAATACCCTGCTAATAATCAGCTACTTGCCAGTCAGAGCAGACAGCACTAGACTAGAAAAGCAAAAATAAAATGCCTATTTTTCATGATCTGATAAAGCTTACATGATGATGTTGGTAAACAGCAACAATAGCTCTCATGAGCACACCCTTCTGATTATTACTAAAGTTGGGTAAAGTTGGTGATTACTAAAGTTGCACCAAAAGGCAAGACAAGAAACAATAGATGGAAACTAACCAAGGAGAGGACCAACCTAAAACTGAGGAGAAATTTCCTGATGGTGAGAGCAATTGTATAGGGCAGGGCTGGGCTTCAAAATTTTTAGCAACGGGTTCTTTTCCTGGTTGCTGGGTGAACATGGCCATAGTGGATGTGGCCTAGTTGGCCTCCTGTACTGTACTGTGGAGGGGCATTTTTGCCCTCCCCAGGCTCCGAAGGCTCTCTGGAAACCAGAAATTGGCCATTTCCAGCCTTCCCAAACTTCTGGGAGGCCTATTTTTCACCCTCCCCGAGCCTCCGTGTGTGCCCTGCGCTTACCACATCCAAAAGCGGCAGTGTGGGGACTCCTGGGAGGGGACGGGTGGGGTGGGCAGGGCCAGTCAAAAGTGGGATTTGGGGGTTCTCCAAACTATGAAGAATCTTAGCTAGGGGCTCTCCTGAACCCTTGCAAACCCCCCAGCAGCCCACCTGTGGTATAAGGTCTCCTAATTGAGCATGGGGTTGGACTAGAAACCTCCTAGGTCCATCCAACTCTATTGTTCTATGACTTCTATGACTATTATGTCAGGTTTATAGAGAAATCCCAAACTGTTCATACATTGGTTGATTGAAATTTTCTGAGTGTGGTGAGTACTACTTGGTGATATGATGATACCTTGTCTGATAAACATCTACAAAAAAAAATCAGTCAAGCTCAGGGAACACCAAAAACCGAAATGTTCAGCCCTAAGATTCATATGTTCACTACTGTTTGATGATGATGCTATTCATTCAATCATGGTCAGTTCTCGATGATTCTGTGAACCATCTCTCAACACATTTTTCGATCTTATACAGTTTCTTTTAATTTTTTATGCTCTGACTGGTTTCAGCTTTGATAGTATCTAGCCACCATATTTTTGGGCAGTCTCATTTCCTTTTACCTCTGACCATTTTGAGAATAGCTGCCTTTCCAAGTGAGTTTGATCACATGACATGTTTCCTCTACTCTTTACATATCTTTTATACATTCTCATGGCACAATTGCATGTCATTAGCAAGGAATCTGAACAAGTAAACTGAATTCAGTGTATAAAGCATGGGGCAAACTTTAGTTTTAGATTCCCAATTAGATGTGTACTCACAATGTTCTCTTGTTGCATATTGAGACTCTAAACAGAAAATAACTCTTGGTGTGATCATCTGATGTCCCTGTATGTCTTCACAGTCCTGTAAAATACTTTGAAACACTGTACAAGTGGGAAGCAACATTCATACTGTGCTTTTCTGCATATGATCACAAGAAAAAGAACAAGAGCAGAATAAAATTTACATAATAAAAGTATTCTGGCCAATTATTTCAAATGAATAGATTTTATAAAGCATGTATGGGTCAAGAGCCAAGCAATCAACACTACTGCTGTGTGTATTCACTTTTTCTTTGGGAGGCGGAGGTGTAAATCTTCACTTTATATATTAAGTGACTAAAGAGAAGGGGAAGAGAAAAGTTGAGATTTTCACTGGCCTACTGTAACTGAGTGAAATGAATCCACACTTAATTTCCATTACAGGTGTTAGTACTTAGAATGAACAGCAAACTCACCTGGATAATTATGGTTCTTGAACATTCATTTCCATTTATTTACATATACATATCCTGTGATTGAAAAGTAAGCTTTTTTAAATCAAAGCAACAGTTTCTAATAATAAAAATGACACTAAACCTAAACCTTTACAACTCTAATGGTGATTAAAGTAGATTCAGGTAAAAGACATGCACACCCACCAACCAGAGAAAGCCATTGGTTGAAAAGTAACTCCCATCAAGCAAAAAACATATTTTAGAGTTGATCTAAACTTTTTTTAACAAAGTAGTTTGTTTGTTTTCCAAGCTGGTAAACAATAATGCAAAAGAATAAAAAGGTTATAGTTTCATTTTAAGGTGCTTAAATTTTAATTATATTTTGACATAAAAAAGCAGTCTTCTAAAAATCCCAGAGGCCTCCATCTAGAAAATGCTGCCAGATTTATTGCTAGGATTTTGCTTCTCTCCAATCATTAATCCTCTCCTGAAAATTGAGGAGGGGGGTATCTGTCATTTCCAATGTCAAGATATAGCACAAGTATTCCATTTCAGTTCTGCTTCTTCTCTTGGGCCAAGATGTATCTGCATTGAGAGGCAGTCATCAATGGCCTTCTGTAAGGGCAGGCTGTTTTCATGCATACCAAATGTAAAGTAATAAATCAAACACCGAGTGTTGGGTATTTGTTAGTTCAAAAACACTTCCTTCTAATAGACTTTACTTTCCAAATACTGTAATATGAGAAGGGATTTCTTTAATCCCTTCCATCATATCTTTCATAAAATTATAGATGTTTGCAGAGAGAGAGAGAAAGAGAGAGAGAGAGGGAGGGAGGGAGGGAGGGAGGGAGAGAGAGAGAGAGAGAGACTTTCCAGCAAAGAGGCATATAACTGTACCATCTGCCAACCTTACAGCATGCCAGTACTGTCATAAGTGGCACATACAGCTAAGTTAACCTCTTGCCCTCTTTATTTAGTACACATATATAAAGATACCCTCCTGAACCTGCGAAATGAAGCATCAACGTTATTGAATATATCCCAGAATATATTATCTCTCTTTGAGGTTCTGGTTGTGCTGGTGTTCAACAGATTGAAACAGATTTAGAGAGCTTTATCAGTTATAAAATTGAGAATCAGCGGGATGCTTAGAATTCTTAGGAGCAGCAAATGTCATTGTTCATTTTGCAATCCTCTGTACACTTGCTTAAAAAAAGATAAGGATGGACAAACGGATATCAAACTACATACAGATGAGGTTCAAGTTCTTAAGGAAGATATATTTTTGCTTGCTTGCCCCTCCACACACACTCTCTCTCTCTCTCTTGCTCTCTCTCTCTTTCCTTTAACATCTCTGGGGCAGTTGCAGTGAAATTACTTAGAATGTATTTCTTAAATGCAACTTTCAATGGGAAGTCAAAAAACCTGAAATAGAACAAGAGAATTTTTTCCCAAAGGCATCATTTTTTATTTCCCAGCCTAGGAACACAATGTCTTGAAAAATAAAAAAAAATAAACAACTATTTTTTAATATACTGCAAAGTGAACATAAATACCACCAGAAAGCCTCTTTTACACTGTGGTCTCTGTGTTACACATGTGTGTCATGAGATTTTATCATAGGTGCTTGCAATCTCTGCAAATGAATGTTCCTTTCCCAGATTCACTTCAATATTTTGTTTTATTATTTTATTTTTGTAAGCTTTCTTATGCCTTACGTGCAACTCACAGTTAACTAATAAAACAACTAAGATTCTGCCATTCTGTATTTCTGGTGTTCCAAAGTGGTATTTTCAAAGAAACAACATGCAACATCTAGACAATGGAAAGAAGGATCTGTACATTGACTACCATGCTAAGTGTATCAAAAGTAAGTCACAGAACCCACAACTCAGCATCCAACCCTACTTCAACGAATCCACCATCACCCAAGACTAAGCACGCATGCCCCTAACTACTTCTATTCCAACTACAACTGGCCTTAAATGCAAGCTACTCAATGCAAGAAGCCTTGTGAATAAAATACCTGAATTTCTCCTCTTACTAAATATGGCTAAATTCAACATCATATTTGTCTGTAAAACATGGCTCAATGCATCTCTCCCTGACTCCATTACCACAGCATCATGTGTACCGATCAGATCATGAAATCTATAGACGAGGTGGTGTTGCTATCTTCTATAAAAAGTCCTTACATCTAAAAAACCATCCAAGTTACCTAAGAGCTTGCTCTTCCTGAGACCATCATCTGTGAACTGTCCTTAAATATCACATTTCAATACCTACTATGTTACAAAGTCCCTGATTATGACATCGAACATGTAAACAAGCTAAATTCACTACTAACATGGGCAACATCCTGCCCACATGATTTTATCTTTCTTGGTGACTTCAATCTACTTCACATTAACTG